CTTTCGATATCCAGGATTCCGCTCGAACAGAGCGAGAGATGGGGATCGTACAAATGCAACTTACAGGAAGGCGTCAAAACACACTACCAATGATGCGCAGCACACGCACCAACTGACCTCCCCTAACCTGTCGTTACAGGACCACTGGATCGCACTATCAGAAGGCATCACACGACCGCACCCACCAAGGATCTACATGCTAAATCGCCCTCCGCAAAACGGTGGAAACTTCTAGCATTTCCATTCACAATTGCCCGTATGGTTCCTCAGAACCTCCCTACTAGGCATTAGAAAGCATGGTAGTTGGGTGATTACGTATGCTTAAAGAGGAAGAAAAGAAACTGGATTCCGGCTTGGGAGGAAGGCCAGCCCATCTGGTGAGAGCAACATGATCACTATAGTGACTGCCGCTTAGACAGGCATGCAGACTCTTTCCTCTTCCAATCGAAGTTCTTGGCGTGGCTCTGAATATATCTCACGCTTTAAGAATCCCGAATTAATCGGAGCTGGAAAAAAACCCACAAGCCAACTGCAAGAGTCATTCTCTAGGAGTGAAGAGAAGTGAATGGCAATAAAACCCCTGATCCTCCTTAGAAGCTTCCGTCCGGTCTGTAAACAGGAGTCGGAACCGCAATTTTGGTTGACCAACATTTGACCAGGGCTGGATGCCGGATCAGTTATTTACAACTAATTCGTAAAATGGAAAAGGAAGGAGGTTTAGTGTGATGTGATTACCGACATCTATGAGCGACTGAAATTGAAGAAGCTAAATGGTATAGATTTGCCCAAAAAGCACATGTCCACCATTAGCACCATAAAGTTCGCCCTAAACACTGCGACCAGGCACAATATTCAACCGAATACTTCGGCGCAAAAGAGGAAAAGGAAAAAGTTTTAACATGGACCAAGGGTCGGCCTAGTCGGGGTATTGACTGTTCCCACTCACGCAGTGATTTGAATAAAGTATTACATCGAATACTTCAAAGTCGTTTTTGGTACTCCGCATCGGACTTAAGTAAGATGAACCAAAAGTTGCATTCTAACTCTTCAAACGGGCTAGTCTCCCTGTAAGCGAATATTTGATTCCATCAATACAAGTAACAACCTAAAGAGCTTTCATCTATGGATCACCACCTAATTCCGGAAGAACATTGAAATCAAAGGGTTGAAAGGTTTTACAGAGCCATCAATCCTAAAATCGAACATGTGCCTCGTACAACACCACAACGCCATAAAGATGTAGGGATTAGACAGTTCCCAACTACGCTCATTCACCCATGAGTTGTTCTAAAAGGGCTCAAACTCACGCCAGCGGATGTAGACATGCATACTCACTAGTTAGGAAGGAAAATCAACTACTTCACAGAAGTAGAGGGTTATAAAAAGCTACGAAGTTGTG